ACGCTCTCATAGAATACCAGCGTGAAATAACTTAATGCTGCTGGATTTCATATGAATGAGTATAGAGAAGCGGAGACCCTTTTTACTGGATTTGAGGCATTCCAACTTAGTCCTCAGGGTTGACAACGCATCTGCATTTTGATTCTTAATCGAGGATAAATGTGGATGTCTATGGGCCACAGCATCCACTTACCAACAGGTCGAATGTGTGCTCGTTTTTTATGAATAATTCTTTAAAAAAAATCTTAGCCTGATATAGCGAAGATTACCGTTCGGCGTTCGGAACAACTCGTGTTCGACAACAACGTCTCCCTTCCTTTTCGCAACCGGTTTTCTCTGTATTAATATTTACAATTAATCACATGCCATAGGATATTTATAATCTGTTTATGCTGATTTACGTTTTGTTGAGATAAGAAATGAACACATGTCAAAAACACATCATACCATTCTTTCAATTGTTTTTAAAAGATTAATTAGCTTGACCGGTACGTATGTGTGTGTAATGTTAGTATAGCGCTAGAAGTCACAATATCTGGACCTGAGAGATGGCGCAGTGATCGAAATATTAATATTTTTTTTATTTACACTAAAAAAGCGGAATGAAAAATTTAAATAGCTTCAAAGATAAAGAGGCACCGATTATGATTACTAATTGGATAACACTCGACATCAATCTTTCTCTAACCTATGATTTTATACTATATCTATATAACAAGTAGTTAAAATAATTGGATATCGAAGTGAGAATTTTCGATTATCGTCGAGAAATTCAATCGAAACTGCATTCGTGTGGTGGCAAGGGGTTAAGTGGGGTCTCTCAGCTCTCGCCACAAAGTCGAGAGCAAAGATAAAACAAAACTAATCGATTCATCTTCGTCCGTATTACAGTGGCATACGATAATATACACTTAAATAAAAACGAATCTATAGTAAAACGGAAATCATTTGCGACATAATAAAATGAACAGGCACAGGCACTGACCAGCTCTAATTTTTGAGGGAGTTTTATGGAAGAAGGCAATTAAATAAAAAAAATAGAACTAAATTTAAAAATTAAAATAATTTTTTTTTAATATTTTATGGTTTCACATGTATACGATACGCGAACACATATAAATCAAGCTAAGTTTAACTGATTTTTATCGTGTATATTAACTTATTTTAAATTCCCGACGTTTCGAGTACTTTATATTATGTACAGCACCTATGGTCACGGGGGAGGACAGAGTTAATATACGCGATATAATAGTATAATATGTAGAACTTAGTTTCATTTAAAATATATAAGTTCTATATAATTCTCTTTTATGAATATAAATTGCTAGCGCACTACTTGAAAGGAAGTTTAAGTGGCAGAAATCCCTTCTCTACTACACACAATACAGAACACTACCTCTTTCCTTCATCAAGCCCCTAGTGGGAATAATTTGTCTTAACCCCGATGCTTTTATTATACAAATATAGAATAAATAAAAAATACGTGTGACAAACGAGCACACAGTCCACCTGATGGTAAATCGATGCTGTGACTCATAGACATTTACATTTATCTTCGATTACGAATCAAAATACAAATGCGTTGTCACCCGTGAGGACCAAGATGGAATGCCTGTTTCCAGTAAAAAAGGGTCTCCGGTTCTCTACGCTCACCATACGAAACACAGCAGCATTAGGCTGCTATTTTACGCTGGTATTCTGTGAGAGCGTGGCCCTTCCCCGGTCGAGCCGACCCATTCGTGCTACCACCATAATATGGATGCAGCATGACTCTACTGCTTATTTGGCAGACAGATTGATCATCTAACCAGACGTCGTACACCTTTGACACCTTTGTCGCCGTTTTCGGCATATTACGTCTAGTGTAAACAAGATTGTCATAATCATATCAACTACGGAAGGCGTGAGATTTTTCTAGCATTTGCAATAATAGCCCCATAATCGACAACGCACGAGGCAAAATGGGGTGATGAATTTTTCTACGCCACCGTCCCATGACAGAGAACACGACTACTTTAAGAACAAATATAAAAATATTTCTCGTAATAGAGATTTAAACATACTTTACAGTAATAATCAGTAATCCTTGCAGTGCAGTTACAGGCTACTAAAGAAGAAGTATAATGAATATTTTGCGAGAGAATGTTTTTAAATTGAATGTGAAAAGTGTCGAAAAAAATCGCCTTATTGCGTCTTAAATCTACTCGAAATGCTAGAAAAATCGCGCATCCTTGAACCACGGTATATGCCAAATACTAACTAATCTACATTTAAAAATGGAAACACGTCAAAAGTGGAAGACGTCGGCCAATGCAATGAACTTGTACAATCCACATACCAAAAGTAGCAATTATACCAATCTTTCCCAAAACATAAGTTTAAACATCTTTAATTCTATTTTAAAAAATGTCATCATTTTACTTTATATGGTGAGAGGATTTTAGTTTTATTTCCACAGTGAATTTCCTTTGAAAACACCTAACAATATATTATGTTTTTAAGAAAATTCTAAACTATTACAAACTAACAAAAGCTAAGAGTACCAACTCATATTTCCATTATAAAGAATATCAGGTACATAAATAGCAAGTTCTTCTATATCATTCAAAACTGGAGCACTGTAATGTAACAAACTGGACTTAGCTAAGAGGATGTCAAGGTTTTCTTGACACGTAAATACTTAGACAAAACTACACATAATATATTATGTTAATTGAATTCACAAGTTTTCAAAGTTAGAAGATATTTGAATATGAATTCTCCACATGTCATTTGTATTACTATTAACTTTTGAATTTATGAGATTCTTATCTACCTGTAGAGTGTAATATGTTTATAAACATTTTAGTTATTTATGACAACACATTTGCATTTTAATTTTTTAACAAATTATATTATGTTTAACATCACATAAACTGTCCTTATTTGTCACCCTTACTTGAATAAAAAAGAAACTAAATCTACACTAATATTATAAAGAGGTAAAATTGTTTATATGTAAGTTTGTTTGCAGGACGTATTCTCTCTGGCACTGCCAATTCAATTCTAAAAATTTATTCACTAATCAAAAGCTACACTATCCCCAAGTATTATTATGAATATGTTTATTATGTGAAATCAGGATGTTTGAAAAAGTTGATTAGATGTAAAATGAGCTGATTAGCTGCTTTATTGGTGTACACTGCCTAATAAAGACCTAAAACACATGCACATTTTGGAAAAACTTTCGTTTGTGTCAAATATATGAAATATAAATTGTTGTTCAGTGGTGCAGCATGTATTTATTTTTGCTATATCTTTTCATACATAATATTATTGGTATAAAATATTAAAATTCTTTTGCTTAAACTCAAATTTCATAAATCAGAATTTTACTAAATCATGCAGATCAGTTAGTCATTTATATAATTGCTAGGTTGTAATTATAAGAACCTATTCAGCAGTAATAGGGCTTTTCAATAAATGCAGTCATAAACAATTGGATGTAATGTGATAATGTAACATGTGACCACTAATGACTTCAAAGGTGTCTGATATCATTCTATAGTTAACACAAAGGTATAATTAAAGTTAATTTTATTTTGATGTGTTAATAATTATGAGACTAATGACCCATTATGATTCAAGAATTATTATGTTTTTAAATAAAACACAATTTGTAATATTTTACTTCATTCTATGAAAAAGTAAAATTAGGAAAGAACAGATTCTGAAAGATCATGAAAGGTAGAACTAGTAAGTCTTTCTCCACAAAACTAGGAAGGAGCACAAGGGTAACAGCACCCTATGCAAACCTTGTGCGGGAGGCACTGAATACTTAGCGGTTTCAATTCCACAAGGGATAAAATTCCAACACTCTCTAGCAGTGCTTCAACAGGTAGGGTCTGCTTCCTTTCAATGAAATGTCAGCTACGTGAATGTAAAATTATTGAGTTATTTAACACTTTTGAATGTTATCTTTATCAACCGGCATTCTGCCAAACTTGCAAACACTTATTAGAATTACAGTACTCTGTGGAAAGAGACGAAACATTGCTCCAAAAGAAGTAAAGTTATCACTAGTGTGAAGTACTTATAAATAAAAAATCACATACTGATTTTACCATTAGTTGGCAGTTGAAAATATACTTTGGAGACATGGGCTGGATGCCAAAATAGGTCAACAGCCTACATTATTATAAATTTACTATGCTGGTGGTAAATATTATTTCCTAAAAAAATTTTTAGCAATTAAGTTTAATTGGTAGTGACTGAAACATATTTTGTTAATTTTTTTAAAATTTAAATACAATATAAAAGTTTTGCATTTATCTGTGTAATTTATACTATGTTATATATATATATTTCTTTTTGGTGAAAATGGTAAGTAATGTACTCGTAACTTCTTATAATAAATATAGATTTTAAAAGATCCTTGCCATGTGTCTGCCTCATTTCTCAGTTTGCCGTTGCTACTGAATAAGTTATTTATAAATTTTAAACACTTTCCTAAACTTTTACATGTTGTCTTACATATATAATATAGCTCATGCAATAGTTCTACAAATAGTGTATGACAATAGCTCCTTGTCATACACTATTTGTAGAACTAAATAAAAATAATAATAACTAAAAATATTAATAAAATCAGACTACCCAAGCCCCTACTATCCAAATTTATCTTGACTGCTACTACGGCCTAAAAATAGTCTCAGGCAATACCCTGGAAATGATAAGAGGGGGGCGCTCGCGATAAACCACGTAGCAGACACTAAAGTCAGCTGAGTTGTAAGTAAACAAGATGTACTAAATTGTTAAATTACAATCGCTCCACAGGTTACGAGCAACAGGTGCAATGGAACAAATATGATATAGTCGCGCCGGCGTGATTCTCACATGAGAATAGCCAGGGGCAATGCATTTCTCGCTAACTACTTTCACAGCACTAGCAGCGATGGTTTTTAACATCAACACCACAAAACGTAACACAATAAAGAATTAACAAAACCATAAATACCTACCTTCTCCTTTGCCCGCCCTGCATGTTTTTGCACTGATTTCGCAATTAACGCACCTTTACTTTCTGCCATTTCTACCACTTTTGCATTACCGACAGTCTACAATTTCGTACACATCAATCTGCACAGATGCAGTTTGCTGTCACACGTCAAAATCCAATCCAAATGCCGCAAATTGCACTGATGTGACGTGAGCTCCCACTCTTGTAGCCGGATACAAATTGACACAGACTACTTAGTGGATACTACGTATCAAATTGAGCAGAAATCTAGATCGAAATATCAAATATTAACGCCAGATGGCGTTGCCATACAGAGTAGTTTTGGCATTGTCTACTAGATGTCACTGATGTTAATAAATAAATTTTATTTACTGTAGGTATGCTAATTATTGAAGTATCTAATAAAAATAATATATTTAATAAAAGCAATAAGTGTGAAATATCTACGTTTACTCAAAGACATCAAAGAGATATTTAAAACAAGACTGTGCACTTGAGGTGTTAAAAAGAAAGGTGAGGTGAGTGTGCTTAAACAGGTTTGCGTTCTTTCCTACTCTAGTGATCATACGATTTGGTACTGCCGTATCAGGTTCAGAAGGGCTAGAACCCAGAGCCGTAAAGCCAGTTAAAAAAATTGTAGTATTGTTGAACTTTTAACTACATTACTTTCTGTGGGAGGATGTATATTTATTAGAATGTGTAATATTCAAGGAGATTGTTTATAACCTCCTTGGTAATATTTATATTATATTTTGTTCCATAGCAAAAACTGCGATATTTACTATCCAAAATGTGTATAGAATCTTTAGCATGCGTGCGATGTATCCGTAGATAGAGGTAAGATACTATGTCTATGGATGTATCAGATGAGATCTTACGTTCACAGATTAAATAATAAAAGGAGCAAGAAAGTTTGATAATTAAATTTGATTATGGATAATGAAGTAAATTTGTTATTTAACCAAACTTTCTTCTTGGAATCTTCATTTTCTCTTACAGGTAAAATGTAAGAGAAAATTAAGAGCCGCTCGGGGATATATAAAAAATACTTTGTAACTTCGACTTAAATCATTTTATTTAACTTATTTTTAAATGGTTTGGGTTTAAAAACTAAAAGAATCATAAAAAACGAAATTAAATAATTATAAGATTGTGTTCAATGTTTCATTACAACTACTTCTAATTACTTATACGGGAAGATTTAACACCTTATTTTTTATAAAATTATATTTCTCCTTTCTTTACGATTTCATTAATGTTGTAATTAAAAATGAAAGTAAATATAACATTTTCATTGATGCCGGCGGGAGTTTAACCTGGATTGCTACGAACTGAAAAATTTAGTTTATAGCTGTTAATTAGCTCCTGAGCTATCACGGCTTATTTTTTTTTGTTTTAATAGTGGAATGTTTTTTTATAAATTTATTAATTTAATCTCAGCGGAACACTTCAATAATGTTAGAACGTTGAAGCGAAGCAATTAATTGTAGGTAATTAACCTCTAAGGAGAGGGAAAGGGTAATTTTATTATTTGAAAAAATGTTTTTGTGTGTAAAGTGATTTATATCAAAACATTTAAATAATTTATTAAACAAAAGTTGCATGAACAAGCCCAATGGTTAAAACAGTAATAAATAACAAAAAAAAAGACAAGCTCGTTTACTGAAAAAAAAAAAGAAAATATATGTCAATTCCACAACTAAGACAAATCTAAAGACAACCCATATGTTAAAATCCGCTAGTTTAGGCTACAGAGCTTGCCAAAGAAAAAGATATTCATACATGCGTACCCGGAAAACATTACCCTTCTTCTAAAGTAGCCAAATAAAAAAGAAAGGTTATATTAAAAAACAAATTATGTAGAGACGGAGTAACTTACTCCGAGTAAGAATATCCACTACCATCGTTTCACACAATGGTAGCCATCTTCCTGATTAAAACAATAAACTACGTTTTTACTTATAAAAAGATTTAATACTTCCAAGATAAGATACACTAAGTTGGAACCATTTTAACTGCAGAAGTTACAAAACAAATTCAAATAATTATAACAACAAGATCGCTATCACAATTTTCACCATACTGCCATAATTGCTTAATGACGTCACCACCAGTGTTGTTACATAAATATTTTTTAATTCTTATTTCCATAACTTTCGTAACTACTAACTACGTTGATATCTTGATTTTAAGGCCCTAGTCGAAAATACATATGTACATAGCGCTTAAGACATGCAATACAATTTTGTTTGTTGTAATTTTATAAATAGTAATTTAGAATTGTATGAGCTACATCAGAGTCCTATCATAAAAATATTTTTTTATGTTTGCAATCCATTGGTTTTACTAAAAACTGGACTTTATGTCAATGCAACTGTGTTATTTTTTGTGCGAAATCATATTGCATATTACACTATCATTTATGTGTAATATATTTGCGTATACTATAAAAGGCTTAGATGTGCCTATAGTTTTTTTATATATTGCGCTAGTAGGTACTATTAAACGTCGTGATTATATTCTCTTTGGGTACTATTTATTAGTTTATAGTAATATACTCTTTGCTCGTACCTTGCAAACAGCACATGACAGGTTCTGAAGGGCTGGAACCCAGAGCCGTAAAGCCAGTTATAAAACAACCGGCACATGACATTTGTGATTTGTCACTTTGACTATTTGTAAACAAAAAATTCAAATTTCGATCTTTGTATACGGTTTAATTGTTCTATTTTATTAATTTGTTTTTATCTTGCTGTCGTTGGATTTGTTGAAAAAAATATATAACACACAATATGGTATTATCTCATTAACTCGCTTTAATTTCATTCATCATTATTTTACATTTCAATAATAATGTGGCATAATTAGGGCAATATAGTCGGCCAGGATAGTGTTCTGCTTCTGTGGTGGTGGCGGAATATGTGGAGTGGTCACAACCATGGGCAACAACCTCGTTTATTTTTGTTCCTTGATTGATCAAAATTCTTACAAACTTCTAGACCTTACGCGTCCATACCGATGGTGTGGACTATCTATGTAGATTATTTTTATTAATTTTTAAATGTTCATTTAGGAACCAAAAACTGAATTGCAAAAAAATGCGATCGCAGAAGCGAGGCGTAAAGAATTGGAGACATATCAGCGAGCACTCGATATCCAATGGCTGAACAGTCGCATGGATGATAGTCGTATAGGCAGACACCTTGCTCGCATTAAACAAGAGGCTGAAATGGAAAGAGAGTTTCAAGAGGTAAAGTTTCCTATATAATTGTATGTGTTATTGTGTTTAAATTGATCTTACAAAATGGTTATTATAGATCTTATAACATAGTAGTATTAATTGATATTCTAGAGTGGTCTGTATGGTCTAACAGACAGTTCAGCTTGTAAATATATTTATTGTGCATGGGAGAATTCAGATGATGCTTTGGATATATTTTGTGACCTTTCGAAGGCCTTTAACTGTTTTCAGCATGAGACATTAATCAGGAAGCTAAAGTACTATGGTGTCAACAATAAAGTAAGTAATTAATAAAACGCAGAAGTTCTTTTGGGTCAACTGTTCTAATGGGTGTCCCTCAGGACTCAATTCTCGGCCCATTCCTATTTCTAGGCTTTGTAGGTTATAATCATGATATAGTATTATTTGCTGATGATACTTCCTTGAATTTTAAACTTAAACATCAATCATTTAAATGTGACGAAGTGAATAATGCTAATAAATTATATTTGTCACAAATTTAATTTATTAGTGCGTTAGTTTAACATTAACAATCTACATTTAAAGAGCAATAAAACTAAATGTATTAAATTTACAACATCTAATGTTAATAGTCTGAATACTAATGTGTTTCTAAATAGGGAAGAACTGAGCCCTGTTGAAATTCAAAGATGCAAAGATTCAGTGGGGCTCCTATATACTAAACTAGCAAGTAGATTAAACTCTGCAGCTTATGCTGTAGAAAAGATTATGAGGTCTTACTAGCATCAAGACAGCTAGATCTGTTTATTTCGGTTATTTCCATAGCATAATTTCTTATAGAATTTTGCTATGGGGAAATGCGGTTGATTCAGAAACTATTTTTGTTTTGCATTAGAGAGCCATAAGAGCTATGTACATCCCAAAACCAACAGAGTCTCTTAGAGAAAACCTTAAATAAATAAAATATATTAACTTTGGCCTATCAGCATATTTACGAAAATTTTATGTATGTCCACAAAACAAAAGTAGTTTTAGTAAAAAAAGTGATATACACTCTGTAACCACTAGGAACAAACAAGCTAGTGATACCAGTTTTTTGACTCCACAAAGTTTGTAATTAATGGGGCAATGTATATGCTATTACAACAAAGTTGCAGAAAATATACACAGACCCTCTATTACCAAGTTTAAATATTTAATTAAACAAAAACTGTATAAAAAGGGTTATTATAATGTAATAAGACTAGCTTCCAAGCTGTTCCTAACATAAATTTTGTAAATAGTTTGTACAACCTTTCATATTGTAAAATTTACTTAAAAAAAAAGGTTTCTTGCTGGTTCTTCTCAGGACAGAGATTGTTTTCTGTACCAGTGGTAAAGTAAAAAATGACTTTTAATATGAATTACATGTGATCTATATTAAATAAAAATTATTCTATTCTATCCTGTTCAATTAGTAACAGTTGTTACTTTATTTCATCTTAATTTATTTTTATGTAATAAAAACAGTAAATTGAACTGAACTTATTTTTTTAAAAGAGCTATTTGCTGCCTAAGATTCAGATTTTTCTGATAATTATTTTTAATAATTCAAGTTAATAAAAGATGTTCATTATTTCGAATTTATACAAACATTAGTGTGAACCTCATAGGTAATATACTGTATAAGGCAGTGAACATATCAAGTCGCTATTGTTATGAATACATAATATAGTGTAAACGAAATGGGATCTGCTACTCGTTTGACCATTAAACGAAGTGGGAGCTTTATGCAGGGCTCCGTATCGTTCAAACCCAGACTTCTTCTTGACCATAGGATAATGAAGTTAAATGAAACTATTGTTTATATAAAAACAAGAGCAGCTTGT